GCAATGTGCCCAGCATCAGAATGGAAACCTGACCCAGGACTGAAGTATACACAAGCCATAAGAATAAAAGCCAAAGGATTTTTTTTAAAGTAACAATCACCCATTGGAATAATCTCCCCAACACTGGACAATTTCAAGATTCAGCTGGAGACAGTGCAGGGTCATCTTGTCTAGACTGTGCTTTTGCCAGGAAAGGCTGGACCAGATAATCCTTGAGGCCCTGTCCGACCTGGTACTGTATAATTCTATGACTGAAATACCAAAACTTACTGGCCCTGATATTTGCTTCTAAAAAAACTCTGCAGCTGCCCAACAGAGTCTGTGTATGCTTAGCAGTGATGACAGCAGTACTGGGTACTGTACCCAAATGAAGATGACATTGAACATGATCTGTGTAGTCTGTGATCCTCTAGAGTTACCAGCATTGCTTCCCCTCTCCAGAATGATTACTGAACTCCACTGACCATCAGAGATACAGTTCCTATTCTGCATCTGCAGAGCAGAGACAGCTTCAGGCATCTCACACCAGCACCTTCCCCAAAAGGTCAGGCAAAGCACCAAACCCACAAAGCACCAGCTCATCCTAGAGCTGCACCTGTGACACTGCTGACCCCAAGCACTGCCCTGGGACTCCAGCACTGCAAATATCCAGCTCCAGCACCAAGGAAGCTGTGCCTTACCTCCACACACTGTGTGCTGCTGCAAGAGGAAAACTGTCCAGAATATTACAGCTTCTACTTATCTCCTCTTTCTCACTATATTGCTACTTTGCTTTACAGTCACAGACCTGAAACTGTTGTTACTGTACTTGATTAATATGAGATAAACCTTGTTTTTTAATTGAAGCAGCCCATAAAGATGGTAGGTAGAGGGTTGGGACTGCTCTGTGCTGTATTCTCTCTGTAAAATGGTCAAGGAGAGACAAAGCAAGTAGACTCCAATGCACTGCATAATTGTAAATCAACATTTTGCCTATGTTAAGCCAGCAATGAGAGTAAGTCCAGAGATTTAAAAAACCTGGAAAATAATGGAGCACAGCCCAATCCTACAGGAACATGGTTGAATTTGAGCAAACCCTATGCAGAACTACCACAGTGCAATGCAGGTATTTATTTATTAGCTCTGTTGCTGCTCATAAATCTTGGAGACCGGGATTGACTGGGCATGTTTTTGAAAGAAAGTACTTGTAGGGCTTTTTTTAAAACACCTGAAGCAAACCTAGATAGCATCTTTAAAAAATATTTTATGATGACAAATCATTCAATTAAACACTTGCTGATACATGCTTTGCACATGATCTGCCACCAAAATGTACTTGCAGAACATAATGAGAAAAGAAACAAGTTCATTTCTAGTCTGTTCAGGTTTCCCCATCTCCTTCATCGGTGACGTTTCCAACCATTAACCATTTTCCTGTACAGCAGTAAACAATGTGACTCACCTCTTTATCTTCTTCTCCTCTTCCTCCCAGAGGGGTGACTGTGTTGAATGCCTTGCTTTGGTCATTTCATACACACTTGCTTTGCTGCTGTGTTTTAATGCTTGAGGAGGCAAAGCAATGCATCTTGCAGGTGGAACTGGAGGCTGAGTGTTGTAATTAAACTCATGGGAGTGCTTTCTGCATTCTGGGACTGACCTCTAGGACAGCCTTGTCTCACACAGACATTACTGGATGCTTCTGTTGGGCCAGAGGCACAAGCTGTCACAACTGTCAGCCCATGAGCTTTCAGTAGTCTTGGACCCAGGCCACAGATGACTAAAAATACTAAGGCACTTACTTAATACAGAATTTAATGCCAAACCCAGTGTGAAATGGGAGGAAACGTTTGATATGATCCTGTTCTTTGCTGCTATATTTTATAAAACACAGTTTGCTAAGCCAAGTTTTGATTGTGTAAACAACCTGAGGCCAGGCACAGTCAGAAGGGGACAGTCTTTAAGCATCCAGGACAGCATGTGTTAATTGTAGCTCACAATAGAGCTGCATATCAGTAAGCAAAGCAGGCTCCTACACCTCTGGGTTAGTTGAGCGATCATAAGTGGGTGTTTCCAAGGTAATAGTAGCTGTATCATGTTCATGACTTCATCAAAATCCCTTCAAATCATCAAGAGAACTTCTGACCAGGTTCAGCTTCAGCCCACCATTCTCCATGCAGCAGGTTATACATCATCTTGTGTTATTTACAGGAGCTGGAGTTGATGCAGTTGTACATTGTCAGTCCTCAGTAGCAGCTTCAGGCTTTCCAGCCCATCCCCTCCCTCAGTTTATCCAACCATACATACAGGGATTCCACATACCACTCTAACCATAGAAGTGATGCTCGTTTCACTGCTTTACCCTTCCTGCCCAGCACCACTTTCAGGGGACAGTAATATCCCATGGGGCACCATGGCCACTGCTGCAGACATCCAGGAAGCCAAGTATGAATTTCTACCCCTCCTTGTTTGCTGGTGGGAAACCACTCACCAGTGCTAGTAAAGAAAAAATACATGCAAAAAGAAATACAGTTTGTAGGGTTTGTGATAAGGGTCCTACCAAGTGCAGAAAACTTTCCTGCTGTATGAGTTAGTAGTTTTTCTCCTTGGGTAACAGTTGTGGCTTTGCTGAGGACTGGGAAGAGCTGATAGCAGCAACAGCTGAAGCCTGGGACACAGGGAGGGCTTCTCTAGCATCAGTCAGAAAGCAGAAGGAACTGCTCCTTCTGCCATTGAGGTGTTGACTATATCCATCTGCAGAAATACTGCCATTTCCTGACTCTTAGGCAATACTGCAATCTTTGCTTTGTGATTCCATTAAAATACCCATTATTTTTCTGTAAATAAATACACTGAACGTTGAAGCTGTTGGAGAACTCACACCAATTGTGCTTTCCCTAATTCACAGCTCTTGGACTACAGATTGATGAAGTAATTTACCATTCTGGAGAACTACTGCAGCAGAATGCAGCAGTGAAAGCCTTAGAAAAATCTTGGGATTTTCATGGCTGTAAAGCATCAGGGAAGCTGGTGGCATATCACACAGTACAGCCTTTGTGCCATGTGTCTAAGATCAGGGGAAACTTGGTTGTGGGTGAAATTTCAAAGAGCATTTCAGTGGCCTTGAGAAATGAATCTACAGTCAGAAGGATTGTTCGCTTTCTGCAAAGCACAATTTATGCTAATTTTCACATGTCATTGCTTGTTTAAAAGCAGCTAAGGCTGCCAAAATATTTGAAAAGGACCCAACTGGAAGAAGAGGCTTTATATGCATGAAATAGAACAAGAAACTTTTTTATTCTATACAAAGAATGACTGAATTTTTACACCGAAGTTTTGCTGTGCAGTATGTAAATAGCGTAACTGTTTATACTGAATTTTATCTGAATTGAGGAATTTATCTGAACTGAATTTATCTGAGAAAGTCACTTTAAAAAACACATTCTTCATCTATGATTTTAACCTGGAAAGACTTTTATAAAGGGTGTCTATTTTTAAGACAAGTTCTCCTTGTTGAGAACAGGTGGTTCTGTCTCCTTGCATATTAATTTGCAATTATAAAACAATGTCGTTTCCTTAGAGGAGGTAAAAGCAGAGCTATAAACTATCAAATTTCTCCTCTGCTGGGAACAATCACTTTAGTAAGGACATTCACTGTGAGGTACATAGACATGAATCTTCCTGACAAACATCTCCATTGGAGAAAAAGGGCTGTCAGAAGACCTCCCATCTCCACCCATCAGAATGGGTCATGGGGAAGAAGCTCTGCCAAAAGGGAGGTAGAAGTGTGCCCCAAAAACGCACAGCCCCACAAACATAGAGCTAGCTCATGGTAAATATGGGTCAAGGAAGTGTTATGACTGACTTCACCAGTTTTGCAGCAAAGCAGGAATTCCATGGCAGCTGGCACTGAAAGCTGACCTAGCTCATTGCTCTATTCTTGAAGCTTCTTACACAGAAAACCTCCTCAACAATCCCTCAAAAGATCAATAAAGAGCAAAAAGATAAAGGGCTGTCCTTTGTGCCACAGGAGCTTGCTCCAGCCCCAGCTTCCTCACACAGGAAACATCACCAAACCATCTTTTCCAACATGACATCTCAAGTTGGGCAAACCTAAGAACAGTCATTTTACAAAAGAATGGACTGCCACAGGAACTCCTGTGTCACTGTGCAGCCAGTGCAACATTGCTGTCCTTAACTGACCTTCAAGGACTTGTGTTTTAACTTGAAGATAAACATCAGATCATGTTCATTCTGACAAAAACTGTTCCCTAAGAACTTCCCACTGTCAAAGAAGTGATGCAGTTTTATACTGTCATCACCTTGTCCCTTTCCTCTCCCTCAATCCTCAGGAAATTATTCAGCTCTGTGAGCAGCAGACTTGACAGGAAAACCAAATTAAAGAAAAAAAGTCAAGATACTTGTATAAGGGAGATCATTCTTTTCACCAGCAAGTTTCTTACAGAAGCAAAAATGTGACAGGTTTGAGCTGGTAAAGAGAAGCTTTCCATGCACAGTTAGAAATGTCCAGAATCCAGAGCTCCTCTCTGCTGTGCTCCATGTGCACTGAGAGCTCCGCACACCATTCCAGCCAAGCAGGTACTGGGAAAAAGTGATGCTTCCTCCTCAGCTGCTAACAGTATGGATCCAAACAAGCATTTAGAGCTGAGATTAAATATGGGAATCTTAAAGGTTTGTTGTTTGTTCAGTTGTTTCCCCTTCACTAAGCAAACTACGACAGGATGCTGCAAACGCAAGAAAAAGGCACACGATTGAAAAATGAGCTACACAGATGTAAGTATTCAAAAAGCCACTGTTGGAAAAGCAATATTTTTCAGGGTTATGGTTGGTTTGAGAGGTTTTTTTGCCACATTATTACACTAGATTAATGTTTTATGCATCACCTTTAAAATTTGCAGTTATTTGGTTTTTCACTGACTTGAAAGAGAAGGAAAAATAATTCTAAAGTGTCAGTAATTTTCTGCACCAAAGTTTGCAACAAACAGGACATCAAAGAAGGAAAGTTACGACACTGCTGAGGCTCCAGAGTGCATTCCATTTTCTGGGGCAGATTTGGCTTGGTGCAGGGCAGCTTGAATTCTGAAATGTGTCCTTGTTTCCATCGAGTAATTCTTGTAGTTTTGTCTAAAACAAAAGCAGACCCACTCTGATGAATATAGATTTTAAAATAATTTTCACGTTATCTTTGTATTATTAAGCAAAATAACTGCAGACAGCAAAAAAAGCCTTTCTTTACAAGGTCCTTTGTTGCCTACTCTAAAATACAAGGCATGTGTTCCTGGCCAAACAATGCAGCTCTTTGTTCTTTATTTGTAGTTCCACTGTCTGGCAATTACCAGAAAAATATAGCTTAATAAGAAATCGAATCTGGTCTACTCTATCAAAATACTGAGTCCATATTAATTATCTGTAACATCCACTTCATTTACATTCAGAAATTAGATTTTTATTTTCCCTTCTCAAGGTAGAATCGATAGATTTGAATACAAATCTTTTCATCATTTAAAAAAATCATTTTAATAAGGCAAACTCATCTTCATTCAGCAGATCATTTCAGGAAAGTAAAGAAGGGGGAGAAAAGAGAGAGAGTTAGAGAAAGAGAAGCTGCCCTGACCCAGAAGAAGGAAACACCCCATCTCCAACCTGTGGTTGCCAATGATGTGTACTGTGTGTAGGAAATAAAGCCAGACAATTGCTGCCCCAGAAGCTTGGAAAGATAAAGTGGGCACACACAAGGCTCCATATCATCTTTTGAGGAGCAATTCACCAGCCCAGGCAAGGACTGGCAGGACTTCCAGCACACACATCTAGTCCCTGACTTGGCAGTGTCATCTGCCTATAGACCCCAGTAGCTAAGTCATGCTCTAAAGAGTTACTGGAACATTAAAGAATCTGTGTTTTCATGGAAGAGCTTATATAGAAAAAGAAAATTTGCCCCAGGATCACACAGAAAGTGCAGATCCTACTTACTAGGAATTAACATGTCAGCTCCTGCAGGATGGATATAGAATGCAGATACCAAAGAGGATTAGACCATGCTAATTTTCTTTTAGAAGATACTTGTCATCTTTACAGAAACATAACATTAAGTATTAAACTCTGTATACCTTAAAAGCATTTCCATTCGAAATTCCTAATTCCAAGCAAGCATGGCAGTGTGGTATCTGTCCCTGTGGCAGTCTCTGGGTGAAAACAAGGAATTCCACACCCATCCTACACCAGCTTATAATTTCATGTATGCAACACCCAAGAGGCTGAGAAAAGGAGGTGACTGGGTTGTGCTGTGTGCCTGATCTGGAACCCTTTGGAGTGTTTTCCTTAAATGAAGTAGATTTTGTCATGCAGAGTTTGTATTTCTCATCACTACATTGATATTTTTTGTTTGTAGTTTACAGTCAGACGAATAGAAATATTTCCATGCACGACCAAGCCAAAACTGTTTATCATCTCATTCCACTCTTTCTCCCAGAGCTGAAAATCCAAGCCAGCAGCAGTATGTGGATTTAGGTCAGGCAAATCAAGCGTCATGCACCAGCCAAGTGCTCCCCTGCCAACTGCAAACAGAATTCTGCAGCCTCAAACCCTCCGCAGCCAACACGCTCTCCCTCTCGTGGCTGCAGAGACACTCAGGGTGTGCAGCTGAAAGCTTATCAACTACAGCATTTTAATGCCACAGGTGGAAACGTAAGGACTGCACCTTTTTTTATGCCTGATTCAAATATGGGGAGGCTTTGTGGTAGGATTTTTTTTTTTCATATTATAGTTCCCATGAGCTCTTTTAGTGTAGCAAGTCTGAGCATCAGCTTTCATACACTGGGCAGCAATAGATGTTTCAGAGCTGCTCTCTGCTGGTGCTGCTCTTTAAACCAAACACCTTCCCTGGAGGGGACCTGTGACCTGAGACACCCAGAGCTGTCAGGGAATGGAATGGCAATGGCAATTGACAGGAGTTCCAGCTGGAATGAGCAGCTCTGAATCATTAATTTCTAGATCTCCTCTGAAGACAGATTTGAACAAAGGAAATGAGGACAGGAGAGGCAATTTTTAAGGAACATGAAACCAACTCAAACACTTTCCACTGTGCTTTGCTAATGCAATTTTTTGTGTTCTTAATATCTTCCATGAGTCTACAGAGAACCAGGGTCACAAGCACAGGAGATTAAGAATTGCAATACTTGAATTTTTGTGTTGGCAGGCTTTTGGCATAATCTTTGGTAGGCTGATTTGCCACTCTGTCTTGCAGAGTGGACTGACTTGGCCCAAAAATAACATAAAACCTCTATCTGATCTCTCTGCAACTGGAGGCAGACATCAGTTCTGTGGCTGCTCCCACCTGCAGCAGTGACTCTCTGCCCTGGGAAAGACTCATCCAGGATCCAGGCAGAGGGCTGGACTACCCAGCTGCTGGATGCTTGAGGAGGGCAAGGGTTGCTTGGGTTTGATTCCCTCCCCCCTCATCACTGCCAAAATTTTGGCTCAGCAGAGAAGTAAAGGTTTGGACAGAGACAAAACATGTATTTTGTTAATGTTATAACAAGGAACACACACAATCAAGTCCAACTTCGTGATAAACCTATTTGGCTAGAAAAATCAATCACGTAAAGAGTAAATGCAGGTGTTTTAGCTGCCTTTCAGAAGCAGATGAAACAAATCAAAGATACTGCAACCTGAAGCATTATCTTAAATTTATTTCATGGAGGGAAGGAACAGGCACTGCTAACCATCAATTTAAGTAATGCTGTTCCAGCCATAACAGAGCTTTGATTTAATTTAACACATCTTTTATGAATAAGTAAATAGACTACAAAGATTATTACATTTTGTTACACATGGATTATTTCTTATGGAAGCCTTTGACATTCCTATTAACATGTTTAAGATGTATTTTGCTCTTCTCAGAACAGATGGATAAGTCCCAGACTGAATGAATATAACACCTACCACTGGAAAGGTCCAAACCAAAACTAAGGCACACATGTTTCCATTGGAAAAATGAATTGAGTTTCCATCATATTAATGAAATTTTTCTGCTTCCTGCTAACCAATAAAATACCAAACTGACCCATTAGACATCAACACAGGTTTTCACTTACTTTGCTCTTTCCAGAAGTTTTATTGCTTCTTCTCTTCTGTCCTGGTCCAGATACAGTATCGCCAGCTCCAGCAAGGCATTTGGAATTAGGTAATGGTCATATTTTATCTTCTTCTCACTGCATTGGAAAAGAAATAGCCTGGAGACCTCACAATGATATATTGTTTCCCTCATTTAACAGCTCCAAACACAAACAAATAGGAGATTAGCTAGGATCAGAAGGAGCAATCAATCTCTATTACGACACTTGCCATGTTCTCTACCCTAAACTACCTTCCGGGTTATTAAATGTGGGTTTTGCATAAGCATCCTACACAGTATGTATAATCTCAGGATTAGAACATAATGCCTTTATTATCAGGGAAGTGTTGGAAAAGATGACAATATTATGAGCTCCATCCATGTGAGCTGACAAAGAGAGATGCAATTCACCACATGATGTGCAGAAGTTCCAAGTATAATCATGCTGCCACCTGTCTCTGCAGACTGCAGTTGGATTTTTGGGTAGAGCTTCTTCAGGGCTGGTAAGAGGAAGGGGGCAAAATAGGCAAGTGGTATCAAAACTTTTATGCACCTAGAGTGCCCCAAAAAGGAGAAAATACCTCAGTAAAAATTGCAGGTTTGAAATTTTTTGATACACGGCCAACAACACTGGAAATTAAAACTGAAATCCCTTGAAATAAATCCTAAAGATACTGCAGTCCTCTCCCTTCTATTCGTATCATGGTTGCATCTCCTCTCATTTCAAACTCAAGAGCTCTCCTACATGCCAGGTATGAAAGCTTACTTTAAATAGATGTAATTAAAATGGTCTTCTGCTTCTGAGATCTTGCCCAAATGCTTGAGGCATAATCCCTTTAACAGCTTTATCACACACCGGTCATCTGCTAGTAGTTCTGTGGCTGCAGAATGAAGTAAAAGGCACATTTTA